TTTTTCGACCGTTGTCGTTGTTGTCGTTGTTGGCGCGGCTATTGTTGTAGGAACCATAGGTACTGTAAAATTCTGCAGTGAATTTTACTGAAATTGTAATTATGAAAACTGCCCCAAAACTGAGTTGCAAACGACGCAGAGTACAAATTAAAAGTGGCCTGCTATATCAGAGTAATTTTGAGGAGGTTTCTCAGGATGGGAAATGGCGGTGTCATCGGATAAGGAAGAACGATTTAAATTGAAAGCGTTTTTTTTTTTTTGAACATTTACACTAAACTTTGTTACAAAGACAGTAAAATTTTAACAAATTGTTTTCTACAAATTTTTCGAATTTTCAAGCCTCATTTTATTGTCTAGCAACTTATCGGCATCTGATTCGCCAACGCACGTTTAACATAAAGATCAATGATGAAAAAATTCTTGGCCTTTGAAAATTAGCTTTTAATTAAGCTGATTGGTGGACAAAAAGAGTGCCTTTAAAAGCGTCAGATTTATCTTACAACTTCGGCTGGCAGTGCAGATACCTTGAATGCGGGGCGTGTAAGATGCAGCAAAACCATTTCCAGCTGAACAGACGTAAAGCATATACTCTCCTTCAGCTGAAAACCAGTGGAACCCCTGTACTACATTTGCTATAGTCTGATAATAACGTTGCACCTTATCGTATTTAAACACCGTATAAGAATCTGAGTCAATTGGTTTTCCGTCATGTCTCGACGTGTTTCGTGTCGCCTCATCGCCAATGATCTTAATTCAGTCTCATAATAAAAAATAAATTTGCTTACGAATTTAAGGTAACATGGTATCCTCATTGTTTTCCAACATGAATAAATGTTTCTGAGCTGGGACTTAAATTTACCATTATCCAGTTGTTCAGATGGTGCAGTACATAACCAGTTTTTCCAGTGATGTATTGTGATTCGGGGATCACGGTGTCCAGGAATGCACCGTCATTCAACAAATCGGTGTCGCCATAACAGTTTCCATAACGTACCACATTTCCGAGTCCACGACTAAAATTAGAAGTTTCACTGATTCTATTGCACGCCTGAATGGACTAAAAGGGCGTTTTAGTTTCTAATTAAATTGTAAGTATGGCTTGATATTTTAAAACGCATTTTGAAACTCTATGTTCAGGATTGTATAGGTTGCTAAAAAGTGCATGTGGCTGAAGTAGAAGAAATTATCTCGCCTTGACTGGAAGTTGATCATGTTGCCAAATTCACTTCGGTCGAATTTCTCTAAGGTATCTGGACCCGCTTGAAAAGATAACCATCTGGTTGTCAGCTCTCCTTGAGCTTTTATGTCCATTGTTTGCTGGGAGCCACTGCGAGGTGTGAAAAGAAAACGGTTAGCGAATGTTAAGTCGGTCGTAAATATGCCTTGTAGTGGGTCTGAAAACAGAATCTGAAGCGCTAGTTGTCAAATGTTCCAAGTGATATGGAGGGTGGTCACGTATTTGGTATGTGCTCAACTGTAAGAAATAATAACCGACGTGGAAGAAAGTAGGAGCTGGGCATGAAACTTCCAAAATCAGTGCCATTCTGTCCTCCAACCGCTGGTAGATTCCTTACTGCGGCAACAATAGCAAAAGGTTCGCTACCGTATGCAAAGATTACTGTTTCTTTTGGTTCTATAGTCAAAACAGCGACGTCAGCAGCTAAGTCCCCCTAAAAAACTATAACCGGAAAGTATCGGTTACCAGTGGCTAAACTTTGTTTATCAACAAGAGGTTTTTTTAAATTGTCCTAATAGGACCCTTCTGGTTTTTGCTTAAGAAGGCACCGTTAAACAAAACTGCAGCCGTGATTGAAGAACATCAAACCTTCAAGCTAAAAGAAAACTGAGTAAATCCAAATAAGTGATGAACGTTCACTGTTATATTATTGTCGGTGTTCGTTAAAAAATACAACATTTCAAACCCTTCTCTTGAATCACTTGTTTCTGTTGCAGAAGGGAGTGATATTTTGTAGTCTTTTTTCGCAGCAGTGGTTGACCAAACTGCAATGAAATTTATAGCAGTTAAATAAAACCATTTTTATTTCTGCAGAAGGTCGTTTTGCAGGTCACAGAAAAGTCAAATAAAAGTGTATTTGGTTGGTAAGCAGCTTGGAAATTAAAGAGAGCTCAAATTGGTGGCTGCAAGACAGTACCCTCTAAAACATTCAATAATAAATCTCTTGTGTTGAGAGAAAGTCGGATTTTTACAAAGGAGTAGGTAGTTTTTTTTGTAAACTGTTTTCCCCGTCGGTTAGGAAAGTCTGGTTGAGATGAGAAGTGAGAAGCCAGTGGTGTTCCGCAAGGACAGCAGGAGGCAGTTTCCATTGTAAATTGGCAGTGTGTTCTTGTCTTGATGATCAGATATGGTTCAAAAAATTGAGGCGGACAAATGATTTATCAGCCACCGAGTCTCAGCCTTTGCTTGTTTAAGGGCCCACTGGTTTGAAGAAATTTGCAAAGAGTGTTTTGGAATGGACCACAAAGTTACAAAACCGCTAAGAGTTCTTGCAAAGGCGTTTTGACAGTTGCATCAGAAGGCGATTCCCAACTCCAAATGTTTTAACTGTTGAAACGCAGCTACGCTTTTTGCAACAGACAGAAATCTAACCGGAACTGCTAAATCCATAAACACGTAAGTGCTGTGAGGAAGTTGCTAATAGCCTATTGTTAAATTTGATATCGGAGGGAAGAAGTACTTTAAATGTTACAGCTACAAGCGAAGAAATGAAAATGAATCTTGCACCTCCGAATGAGTCTCCAGTGCCGTTGTAATAGTTATGTCCCACAACTGAGATTGGTATATCAGAGACTAGATTAATTTTTGTACTTGGTACTTGCGTCATGCTGGTCAAATAACTTCTTTTCTGGCAAACGCAGTTCTTCGGTAAGAAATACTAAAATTTTCATTCATTTAATCGTTTATCATCAAATCAAAAAATGAAGCACTGAGGAGCAGAAATGATCGAAGAAACTTTATGACGATTTCACTAAAAACCCCATCAACAGATTATTGAAAATAGAGCAGCAAGTAATGGCTGAATTATTCTTTTGGCGCAGAATTAGTGTTCAAAATTCTGTTCGGAAAATGTACGATACACCAGATTGTAAAACTCTGTACCTGAGTTGAAAAATGGTTTTAAAAGTGAGATTAAATAAAGAGGGTTCGAAGTTTTAACACTTACTGTACGAGCATTCGTGGAAGGCACAGCAATGTAATCCTCATTCTTTTCTGAAGTGTTGTTTTCGTTCAACGTGTAATATGTTATATTTACATGGGCAGAACTGAATTCATCCAGGTTGATTAAATCAAGGTAAATGTCTTGTTTAGAGCCAAACGGTGCGTTGTTCCACGGGAATACAAGTAGAAATTCAGTTCCACTACCGTCCACAAAAGTCGGTTTCGGTGTTGTTCTTCGAGCACCGGCAGATGCTACTGCAGAAATAATTAAAACTTTTTATCCGATTTTATACAAGCCAAATTTTTTTTGCATAATGAAAAAAAGCTGCTAAAGTTTTTAGTAACTTTTACGCAATAAAAGTTTGCTTTTGGAGTTTTTCAAAAGTTTTTTTCTGAAGTTATTCTGTTGTCCTTTAGTTAATACGGTACCTTTAGTAGATCTCAGAGGTTACAAAAAAAACTTTCAATGAATAAT